GCAATCTACTTCGGTAGTGATGCTGCCTCGGAAACCCAAGGAGGGGTCGCTATGAGTCGGGGCCGACTCGACGGCAAATAACAACAACAACAACATATATATATATATATAATTAACACTGGAAAGATATAAGTTACTTTATAAACATTTTTATTTTGTACATTCTATTGACACATTTATATTCTAAAAGGAAATTCCATTTAATGGGGTTCTGTGGTTGTTCACACACTCATGCTTTCTCTATGGTTTATCAGGCAGCCAGCCAGGTGTCAAAAACTGTAAAACATACTCATAACTGTTGCATGAAAAGGATTAGACTCTGACCCACTCAGCTTTCAGCTCTGGGGAAAGCACATCCTAAAATGTTGGAATTATAGAGAAAGTAAATTTAAAAAGAGGGTTCACTTTATAAAACATTTTATTATATTTCAGGAACATATTTCAAGATAGTTAAATCAATCTGTGGGAAGGAAGATGGGGCAATGTACTTCCGTAGTGATACTGCCTCGGAAACCCAAGGGGGGTCGCTATGAGTCGGGTCTGACTCGACGGCACATAACAACAACAACAACAAATCAATCTGAGTACTTTTGAGAAACTATTTAGTCTACATTAACAGTAGTGTAGACACAGAGCAGAAATATTTGCATTAATTTGGGGTTAAAAGTTACTTTTTGGAAACTATAGGTTTAATTAAGGATGGAGTATTTTATCCTTGGAGTTTCCTAAAAGGGACATTTAGGTTAATTTAATACAATGGAAAGATAATTCATTACAAATATATTTTTGCTGCTATCCAAAAGAATTAAAGTGTATCTAGAAAGTGGGTTGGTAATCTACTTCAGTTTTTTTCTAATAATATTTTATCACTCTTAGAATCTGGAACTTCTCTTTATTTCATTTTCTACCATTTAATCTTAATTTTTAATATTTTAGTACATTTGTTAGTTTTGTATTTTTTTGGTGAATGTTTAATTTAAAAAAAAATACTTAAGACAGATTGCATTAAATGCAATTTAAAAAAATAACTTACTTTATTTGTTTAACTCAGTATTATCCATTGCTCAGAGTTGAAAATGTTCATTAATTTTAGAAGAAAACTAAATATGGAGAAGTGTATACTATTTTTAAGATAAACTAAGTGCATATAGAAAAGAGCACTGGATGAATCTATGGACTTTGGTTGAATTTTAGAGGCCTATAGCTTGCTGAAATAGTATGGTTAATTTTGTATAATATTCATATATCCTTTTTTTTTAATTTTCATCAGACTCTCAAGGGGAGTCATGACCAAATGAGCTTAAGAACCATATGTGATTATAGGGATCGACCAGGGAAATAAAATAATTGAATTGATACTTGATGAAGATGATTCTTGCTTAGTGTTTTCTTTGGCTTATCAGGACAAAATTAATTATAAGGCTCCATGAAAAATTAGAAATTGGATGATGATACATTCAATGAATTTCTAAGTTTTCACAAACTTTGAAATTTACACATTTTATGTTACTCTTTAATAATTTTCAGAGAAATGTATTTCTTTTTTAAGCAACAAATTTCAACATTACAACTGTTTGGGATTATTTCTACTCTTTGTAAAGCCAAGAATGCCATTTTGGTACTCTGTTTCCTTACTTTCTTATAATCTGTGATTTACATATCTAGATACCTCTATGATTATGTGAACCCCTGTTCTCTTTGGAGAGTATATTCATCATGAAAATGGTATAATTCTGTTTTTATTTTTCAGTTCATTTCCAAATATATTTATTGAGCATGTCAGCCATTGTGCACAAAGATTATTAAAATGGCATTATTCTGGTCTATACACAGATGACCATAATCCAACCAATCATAAAACATGGAAGGGCAGAAGCATAATATTATTAGAATAGATTGGGAAGAAAATTAATTTCTTGGATTTATTCAAGACTTCAAAGAGAAGTTAGACTTCAAAGGTTGAGTAGGATTTTGAGAGGCAAAGACAAGAAGAAAGTTAGTAATGGACATTCCTGGAAGAATGATGAGCTTGAACAAAATTTTGAAGTCAAGAAAGTGTGTGGTGCATTTAGAGAATCTCATGTAGTCTGGTGTGCCTAGCTAGAAGCCTCTAGTGGGGGAGGTGGGAAGTGACAGGAGATGAAGATTGACATTAGATTGGAACCTAACTTGCAAACCATATTAAAGAATTTGAACCTGTATTTATTAAATAAGGTGCCATTGAGGGTTTAAGGAGCTCTGGTGACGGAGTGCCTAAGACTTTAGACTGCTAACCAGAAAGTTGAAAGTTCAAATCCATCAGCTGCTCCACAGAAAGAAGATGGGGAAATCTACTTATGTGAAGATTTACCGCCTTGGAAACCTAATGGGGCCACTATGAGTCAAAATTGACTCTGTGGCGGTAGGTTTCATTTGGTTGAGGGTTTGGAGCAAGGTACCTACATGATCGGAAGGATAATTTGTGAATATATGTCTATAGACAAGAGAGCAGAATGGATTGGATCAGGAGAAGACTGGGATCTAAAGGTAGGGAGACCTAATAGAAGGTTATTCCAGTAGGCATTATTATGGCCTTATGTAGGGCAGTGGTGGGAGAAAAGGAAAAGGAACAAATCTGAATTGTTTAGGAATTAGAACCAGCAAAAGTTACATAAATCATTTGAATGTAGAAAATAAGATAAATGGAAGACTTAAGGAAAATTCTGAGATTTTAAGCTTGGTTTATTAAATAAACATTTAAATTATTAGTTGAATCTGGGATTACAATAAGAGGAAAAGCTGAAGTTCCCAAAGGGGTTAAAGAATTATATTTGTAACTAGAAAAGGACATTACAAAACCCCTTGGTGTTGAGTCAATTCCTACTCATAGCAAGCCTATAGGATAAGGTAGAACTGCCCCATAGAGTTTCCAAGGCTATAATCTTTGTGGAAGCAGACTGCCACGTCTTTCTCCTACTGTGAAGCTAGAACTAGTAACCTTTTGGTTAGCAGCCACGTGTCTGCACTACAGGGCTCCTGAAGACATATTTGAGATCATAAAATCTAGGGTTCTGAAGAAGTACCTAAGGGATTGCTATAGTAGATAAGGATGAGACTTGTCACTCCTTCTGTAGCTGAAGTCATTCTGATTTTGTTGGTTCCTCAGTATTAGATCTACATGAAAACTATTGGAGAAAACAAAATGGTCTTCTGCTAAGAAATGCATTTTGAAAATCTCTGCTCCAGAAGCCTCATTTCACAAATCAGCACCAGAGGTCCATTAGGCAGCTGCTTGGAGGCCTCACAGTTAGCACGCATTGTTTTGAGTGTCTGCATGACACTTAGGCAGCCATGTGGCAAACCCAGTAAACAGCTGGAAAGGTGCCATGCAGCCCAAGAGAGAAATCAAGACTAAAGCAAAGTGATAATTGCACTATAAAAGCAAAGAATAGTATTCAGAAAAATGTGTTGAATGTAAAGAAGATTGACGAATAACTCTTAGGTAAAAACTGCCTCTAAGGTAAACAGAGAAAGGGGATCCAGTAAATGAAAAGATAAGCAGTCAGATAAGTAAGAGACCAGGGCAAGTGTGTAAATGGTTAAGAGCCTGGGTTGTGTGTTAAGAAAAAGTTTGAAACCTATTCCTGCTGCTTACAAAACGGTTGGGGAACAGTGCTCACAAACTCAGTTCCCTTCAGGAAGGAAAGGCAAGAGAGAATAATAAAGAAGCAAGGTCATATGGAATGAAGCAAGGTTATATGGGAAAAGGTTTACAAGTAGAGGGGGATGAAAAGGGCTAGTGAACACTTAAATGTGTATGGTCGCACTCCCTTATCCACAAGGGGATATATTCCAGGACCCCCAGTATGTTCCTGAAACCACGGATAGTATCAAATCTTTGATAGTATCAAATCAAATACTATGTTTTGACCTACAGATACATAATTACTATAAAGTTTAATTTATAAATTTGCCCCGCCCCCCCCAACCATAAAAAACAACTCACTGCTGTAAAGTTGATTCAACTCATAGGGAGCTACTCCTCCTTGGGTTTCTGAGGCAGTATCTCTACGGAAATAGATTACCTAATCTTCCTTCCGAGGAGTGGCTGGTAAGTTTGAACCGCTAGCCTTCTGGTTAGCAGTCCAATGCCTTAGGCACTACGCCACTAGAGCTCCTAAATTTGGCCCAGTAAGAGATTAATAACAATAACAATTGGGCAGGTGGTGTACACAGCGTTGATATGCTAGACAAAGGGATGATTCACATCTCAGGCGGGACTGAGCGGCGTCACAAGATTTCATCACACTACTCATTTAACATTTTTGCACTGCTGTTGGCCATAGGCAACAGAAACCACAGAAAGTGAAATTGTGGATAAGGGGGGATTACTGTAGTGCAGAGCCTAAGGCACTTGACTGCTAACCAGAAGGCTGGCAGTTCAAACCCACCAGCCACTCCTCGGAAGGAAGGTGGGGCAATCTACTTCCGTAGTAATACCGCCTCAGAAACTCAAGGAGGGGTCGCTTTGAGTTGGAGCGGACTGGACAGCACATAACGACAACAGCTGTATATACTCTATATTTAGAGGTAGAATTGTGGAAATGACAAGAGTCCGAGGTTGGTTTCCATTTTTACATTTTATCTGCCAATATGAAGTATTTTGTTATTAAAGGTTTTATGAAAGAATATTTTCAGTTATTTAATGTAAATACTATTTAATGTAAATGCAAATTAGTGCTGTGAGAAGAAGAGAATCTACTACGTATGGGGAGAGATGTGTATGCTGCATTGATGAATTATGGTAGTCATGAGGCATGAAATGTAAAAGGGCCAAGAGCATGTAGTGTAATAAACATACTGAATGAAAAAATGTATTGCATGCAATAGAATTAATAATGAAATTAATAACCAATTATAAAGCGATTTGAATAATAAACATTTGTTCTTTATGAAATAGAATCTTAAAGTCCCTTGTAGTAACTTTTCATTATTAATAATTGAAAGAGACTCACCTCATAACATTTCCTAATTATTTGAAGTATTGGAATTTACCTCTTTTATTATTATTCTCTCCTAAACTTTCTGGTTATTCTATTATTTTTCTCCTCTCACCTTCCTTCCTAATAATCAGAAAGAAGTTCTATTATATAACACTGTCTTGATGGTGCTGAAGACATTTGAGTGAAAATAGAAAAGATTTTATTTTGAAATATGGTTTTCTAAAGTCTCAATTGGTTGTATTTTTGTTTTATTTTATTTTAGAATAAGATAATCCTTAGCACTGCCATTTTATAGTGGACATTGGGAGGCAGAGGCAAGCTTTTCAGTAATAATTTTCATTTGCTTTGCTTACTATCTGCTTATCTGTTTTAAATCTCACCTTTTGAATTAAACTATACCGTTTTCATTTCTTTCCTGAATCTCATTTATATTCTTGTTTCTGCCACGCTTGCAGTCATTTTCTTACTCTACCTCGCTCCAGATACAGGCAGAGCATTGAGCATCATCACAGGGATGGCAGGTATATTTTTCATACAACTGAGTCTGTTCATAGAATTGCATGTGCCTGTCTACTAATGTGATATAATTCACTTATATTTCTATTGTGTGTGTGTATGTGTGTGTGTCTGTATGTATATATGTATATCTAGATATATATATATACACACACACCAATAAAGTATAGAAATATACTTTATAAAGTAGTAGGAAATAAACATATATAAATACTTTAATTGTAATAGTTGTTAAAGATACAGCTTTTCTTTCATGAGCTAGTGCTATCCAAGAGAAGTAGTTCACCAGTATTTAACTCTTGTTTATCTATAGGGATAGAGTCTTTTAAAATTAGCCATGGTTAATTTCCCACCTCCTCAGCAGAGTTCATAATTAGATAGGACAGCAGGGATTGGTTTGTACTTCTGCCTACTCCTACCCCTTCGCCTCTAGTAGGGGAATCAGTCAATGAAATGCTTAGGTTATACTGATTGGACTGTGGTTACCTTGTCAAAGATAGCTGTGATCAACTCCTTGGTTGTAGTAGATGATCCTGGATTCGTGGAAAATCCTGGGTCTGTGGGGAAATCCATATTCATTTCTATTCTACCACCGCTCCTCTTTCCAAAGTGAGAATTTGCACTGAATCATAGATAGCACAGTCCTGGGAAAAAAATAATTTATTGGAAGAAAATATCAATTACTTGGCATTTAACAGAAGAGGGAATTGACTAGCAAGAGAATAGGGAAAAAGCGCTAAAATCCATAATGTTCTCAAGGCTATTTGTAGCTTTAAGGATTTGAGCCAGTTAAGTGACAAAATTTGCTCTTTGCTTTTGGGCAGAGAAGGAAATGGCAGTGATAATGTGGTGGGCTCAGCTAGTATAGACAAGAAATACATGTGCCCTACTTAATCGCTTTGACTGCTTCTGTTTCAAAGTGCTTTGGAGTTATCTGTGACCTCCTTTATCCCTATTAATGTAGTTGATGAAGAGTTGATAATAAAAAAAAAATGTTTCAAAAAACTAATTGACAAGTAATGGTTGAATTCTAAGGATTGAATTCCTGTGGATAAATGTGGAAGCAAGCAGAAGAGATAACATCAACAATAAGTTCCTAATAATCCGTGTTTTGTGATGTCTTTCAGTAATTGTAATTGAAATTTAGTGCCTTCTATCTTAATTATTCAATATATTTAATTTTCATTTGCATTTTCTCAGTCTCTTGTTTTCTTTCTTCAATTCTCAATAATTATTTTTTATTTTGTCTTTTATATTTATCGTTGCTATTGTTACATACAGACTCTGTGTATTTTTGCTGTGACTGATTACACATTTAACATCCAAAAATGTGAAAAAGTAGTTAGATAACTATATCCTAATAATTGGCCCTGGCTGTTCTCAGGGGGTACCATGAATGAGACATTACTAATTATAGGCTTATTCTACTTACTCTTGTATCTCCTTATGTCAGTGTAAGTTAAAATCATGTACCACATTACCCTTTCTTTGGTGTGAGCACTCTGTATTTCCTTAATACATTCAAGGCTCACTTATCAAGGAGAAGATTGTCTACTTCACTTTATTTGTTCTTTCAGTTCACCAACATAGATAGAATCAGTTCTTCATCAACTCTGAGTTAGTTATCAATTTCATATGCTTACCCAAGTTTCCAACCTCAGTGTAAATGGCTAGTTTTGAAGGGGGCAATTCTGAATTATATTTTTGTCCCAGCATTTGGATTGTGGTCAAGAAACACAAGATCATGAATATTTATATTAAAATAAAACAACAGGAAAGCAGTTTCAGAAAACAGGTTATCAAATATCTCACTGTAAGATTTGCCGTCATTGAAATGATTCAAATTTGTGAATCTGGTGTCTGCTTCCTCCTAGAAAATTTGGGTAGATTTCATAAAAATGAAGTTCTGATTGTTTTTAAAATACATTATCTTTTATGATTAAGATTTTGATGCATACAAAAGAATGTGTGTAAGTTACAGTGTAGTAATCAAATGAATAGCCATGAATCTGCTGTTCAAATCAAGAACATCCAGATACATACCTGGCTTTTACTTGTATACTCTTGGTTATTTGTAACCTACTCCTCCTCCACAGAAGGGGTAAACATTAGACTGAATTTTCAGTACATTTCATTCTCTTGGTTTTGAGAAATTATTCTGTATTTATTCCATAAAGTTCTGTGCTTATGATCCTTAATTTAACTCCTGTTCCTGTGTATCTACTACCGCTAAGCAAAATCACCTGTTAACCTTCATGTTATTGTCATCTGTTGACTTTTTGGTTACTTATTCACTGAAGATTTTATCACCTGGCCTAATCTTCCTCTTCATTGCATTTTCTGCTATCAGCCCAGGTAATATCAATATTATTGCTAGGACCTATTGAGCACTCACTCATTTCCTTGCCTATCTCAAATCCAGTGAGGCTTACCTGCAATTCTGCTTCAGTCCTTCACTCTCATGGTCATGCTTTGAAGCTTATCATCACTTGAAATTGTTGTACCACTGAAATCTTCATTCAAACACCACACTCTTGGATCAGAACCATGTGTTTCTTTCTTACTCTTTCATTAATTTTACCTCACTCTCTATTTCAGGTGAGAACTCCACTCTCTAAACTCTATGTACTCCCTGTTAGCTTCCACTGTCTTTACCTTCTTGAATATCTGGAGGTTGAATCCAGTTGCAGAAATATCCTTAGTCCCATTGCTCAGTTGTCTTTCTCTTAAGCATTTGTCAAATTAAATTCTGGATAAATCTCCTTCTCTTGCAAAAAAAATTTCTTAACTCAAGTATCCAAATTCTTCCTAATTTGTATATTTGAATCAAAATAATTGGACACTTAATGGAGAAGTGACCCTTTTATTGAAGGGTGATAAAAGCAGAAAGGAGCATCAACCTTCTAGATGTCCAGTTTCCCAACCCAATTTTCAAGGTAGCATATACTCTCCTAGTCTGGGAATTCTCCTTCTGGGAATAAATATGTGTTCATAACTTAAGGTTTGGCTATATAATCTCTGAGAACTTTGTGATGGAATGAAAGTAGTGAACTCATCATGGCAATCCCAGTTTATGACCAATCCACAGGAGAATTTACGTCTACATTGATCTCTCTGCCCCAAGATTGTAAAATGAAAAACTGGAACAACATGAGGCTTAAATAATGTTTACCAAACATTTTAAATATTACTTCATGAAACAAGTATTAGCTAACATTTGGAATCAAAACTTTGTTTTCAGTTATGTGCAGGTAGGTTATACTGAACAGTGCAAACATCTATCTCTGAATCATTGTGCATTTTAAAACACACTTACTATTTAGACAAACATTTAGAATGAGTGCTGTTGCCCTTTATTAATATTCTGTATTAATTATCCCGTATACAGGCTAACACCTGATCTTTCTTTATTTGCCAAGTTAGAGAGCTACGAAACAGATTTCAGGAATCCTCCTTTATAGTTCTCTTTTCTTACCTACACATATGCTATTGAAGCAACAAAAAAGCTAGACATTCACATTAGTGCCAGTATCAAGTGTTGCTTTAATTTAGTTTCCCAAATGTCAAGAAAGCAAGCTAGATGAGATTGTTGACACATTAGTATTAAGGAGCTCTGGTGATGCAGTCCCTTAGGCATTTATTTGACTGCCAACCAAAATGTTGGTGGTTCAAACTGACCAGCTGCCCCATGGAAGGAAAATGGGACAATCTACTTCCATAAATGCTTACAAACTAAGAAACCCAGAGGGGATCAATATCAATAAGAATTGACCTCTTTCATTAGGATAGATATAAGCTTTAAAGGTCTGGAATAATGGTCATTGCACTCCAAAACTAATTTGAAGTGATTCCCTTTAATGTAAATTCAAAGTAATAGATTTTTTTCAACTATAAAGCTCTGAATAAGTATCATATTTTCAGTGTCAAATAATTATTTAATATTTATTAAGTATTACATAACAAGCAGTGTCCTCTGAGCTGAGGTACCCACATAGAGCTTATATTCTGATATGGAAGGAAATGATTCACAAATCAACAAATAAATAATTGCAAATAGAAATAAACAACATAAAAAAAAAAGTAGGATAAAGGGTGGAAAGTGCGAAGTCCTTGAGGCAGTAACAAGCTTGGCAAGTTTTAGGAAAGAGCTACAAGGACAGCGTGACTCAACTTGGCAGATTGAACCAGGGGGAGCATTGTAGGAAATGTCATATCTTATGCAAATATCATGTTAGGCTGCAGGTAACTTTTGGATTTAATCCTCGGTGTTATTTGAAGCTGCTGGAGAATCATCAAGCAAATAATGTGACCTCATTTAGATGAAAGATTACTCTGGCTGCCGTGTATCAAATTGTTATCGAGCTCCTACCATATGTTGGGCAGAGTGTAGATTTTCAGACATAAGTAAGTCATGGTTAGCAAATAACTCCTAGGTTCATTGGATTTCAAACAAATAACCTAATAATCTGATAGGTAATATACGTATTAGAGCTCTACAAGAAAGCATATTAAGAAATCACTGACATTGAGACTGGCATCTGGGGGTGGATTTTTATGTAAGAGTTTCATGGAGGAGATAACAAGTAGACTGTATCTTAAAGAATGAGTAGAAGTTACTTAGAATTATGTAGAGGTACAGTAGGATAATGGTGGAGTTTTAGAAAAATGAATACACAAAATTGCTAAAGTAATAACTACCACTGTGCTGTTGTAGCATTACCACAATGCAGGTAATGAATCTGGGATGATAGAGCACGTTCTGATTGTAAAGAGCTTTGTAGGTTCTATTAAGGAACTTAGATAAGACTATGGATGTTTACCTACCTCCGCAGGGCCTTTATAATAAACCTGAAGGGTGTTAATTAAGAGATGGCTATAATTGGATTTTCATTTTAGAATAACCACTCTAGAGACTATGTGGATGGTAGGTTTGAGGAGAAAATAACATGTGGAAAAGAAAAACATGTATTCAGGTATTACCTTGGTCTAGGGCAGCTGACCAGGT